AGAGAGAGAGAGAGAGAGAGAGAGAGAGAGAGAGAGATCAGGATCACTCTCTGGAACTACATTTTTTGGGATTTCAAAACGCAACGAGCACTTTCAAAGTGGAATGCTCTATTCTAATGTAGCAGCAGCAGCAGAAACAGCAGCAGCAGCAAAAAACAACAACAACAACAGCAGCAGCAGCAGTAGTAGTTGGAGCAGTAGCAGCAGGAGCAGCATATTATCCCTCAAGTCGAGTTATCTTGCATTTCCATGTTGGATTAAAAACAATGTTTTGGAATTTGTTTTTTCTTTGTTTTTTATTTTGATGTCCTTTTTTATTCAGAACGGTTGTTTTTTTTTTTTTGGGGTGGGGGCAATTATCCTGCTCTGTATTCCAACTGCATAAGGTCATCATATTAGCGCGCGGGACACATTAAACATTTTCGGGGGGCAGTCAATTGGTATTTCTTTTTCTTTATGTCACAGCCGTCGATAACTCTCGTTTTTCATTGTATTTTAATTTTGTCCACAATTATTTTGTAAAGGTCCATTATGTGACACACAAAGAGGGAATTTTAATCCACTGCACCCTCCCGGCCCATGCCCCGTGGGGCTGTGTAGAAGATGAACAGTAATGGCTTCTAGAAAGTTTTGCTTCTTTCTACATTTACATTTCAGTTTTCATGATAAACAAATATGCACAGATTTTGCAATCACAACAAAAAACCAGGAGATAGACTCAAATGAATGAATAAATGAATGGATAAATGAATGGATGAATGAATGAATGAATGGAAGGAAGAAGATTACTTCACGAGTAGCCATATTTTAGCCGATTCGCACGTGAATTTCTATTGGTGACCGAGCCGCACAGAGGAACAATGGTCGAGTGCGCGCAAAGAGGCCTACAACTTACTGCCGAGGGTCAGAGAGATTCAAAAGTGCAGTAAAAAATTCGTGGTGCACTTTTTCCTCAAATACATGTACATGTATCTCTTTAACGAGTGAATCAATGCCATCCATACTTTGCACAGCAATTTCTATCCTATTATCTTAACTGAATCATATTTTTCCACAACATTTGAGGCTAGATTTAAAAACTTGTCTTCATAAATTTAAATAAAATACTATAAATCTCCGGCATGTAGAAAAAAAAAGTAATATTCAAAGCACTTCCCGCTTCTTACACACATTTCGCTTACGCACATGGCCTACGTCACAGCTCATCAGTGACACTTTTTAGTGGCAAAACTAGTTACTAGAAATAGAAATGTATTTAATAGTGAACACTTTTTTACACTAAACGTTCTCAAAACATGCATTCAATAAGCATAATCTCGCAATTAGAAAAACATGACGGACTTTACTTGCTCTTAAAAGCAATATTGCCCCAGCTGTAAAACATTTTAAATTTGTAGAAACCACCCTCTTAGATTTGTTTAAATTAGTGTTTATTAAGGATTTAAAAAAATAATTCCGATAACAGGTGTTTACAAAAATATTGATCTCTTACGACAAATTGATACAAGTCACTGTGCAAACGCTGGGCAGTCTATGTTCGATAGCTTTAAAGAAAATATTTTAAAATAACTTGCACCACGAATTTTTGACCGCACTATAGATCTACCGTTCGGGGGGGACACACACAAAAAAGGACTAACCAGTGTCGATAGACTTGTTGACTTTTCACTCCTTGAGGCCACGCTTTCTGGTCATTCGACAATGCTGAAAGAGGTGCTCTTTGGGGGGCATAATTTCATTTATCCAAATATTTGTTTTCGATTCAGTTTTGTTCATCTAAAATTTCAAAATGTATGCAACAATATTATACGTGTTATGAACTGTGCAAACTCATGTCTTTGGTGTGTGCAGGTGAGTTTAAGGTGCCGATACTATTGCCTTTGCTGTGCTGCTGATCGGACATAGTATGTGTCCGCTTCGTCCTAAAAGAGTTAAGACACCTGTAAATTATGAGGTACACACACACACACACACACACACACACACACACACACACACACACACACACACACACACACACACACACACAT